GGGGCTCCCGCGCGCTCCGGGGCCGGGCCTGCCGTGGCGCTGCGTGAGCCCTGCGGGGCTGTGAGCAGGTGGGAGAGGTGGGGATGATGCCCGCAGAGGCCCCGCAGCCCCGGGGCACAGCGCCTGGTCCCGGGCAGCGAGAGGCGGAGCGCCCGCCTGGTTGTTAACCCGCCTGGTTAACCCGCCTGGTTAACCCGCCTGCGGACGGTTCTGGGCGGGATGAGTCACTAGCGATGTCCCCACGGACCGGGGAAGTTTGTCACCCCGGCTGGGGGAGATTGGCCTGAAGGTCGCTGGCGAGTGGCTTTTGTTTATGGTTTGTCTTTTGGTTCTGTTTTGTTGTGTTTTTGGGTTTTTTTAATTATCGTTATTATTTGAACCTTCCTGCCTTTCTGTGCAAGCACAAAGACGATCTATTGGCCATTTTTAGATTATTGGATTTTTTTTCAAACCCGGCTGACATCTAACAGCATAGGTATGTGAACATCAGTGCTCACTGAATCGTTAAGTCCATCACTGCTTTTCTGGGTGGGAAGATGCTATACACATGTCTTTTTAAAGCAAAGTCCAAAGAAAGTGTCTTAAGAACTGGGTGAGACAGTTTTTCCCCCCAATTGAAGTAGTTTAGTTTCTTTTTTCCCCGAGTAGTATGTTCTACTTTACCCTTGGAGCTTAATTAGGTTTTACTTCAATAGACCAGGTTTTAATGCCAGGAGAATGCCTGAAGACATGGTTTTTGTGGAATATTTAGAACATCTTGAAGTGCTGTTGGTGATTTGATTGATTCCTGTTCTCTAAGTGGACTCGTGGTTATATTGCATTTACAAATGAAGAAATTTGATGTGTTCTGTCAGCAAAGCAGCTGCCTGCTTCTAAATTATTCAGACAAATCTCTTATTTAGCAAAGTGGCAGCACTCTTGACTTGGCAGAGAGCTGCTAGGAGACTTCTTAGGTCGTGTTTTTTTTTTTTAGGGAGCATAAGTACAATCCAATAGTCCAACGATTAAGCTATTTACATGAGATAAGTGAAAATTTCTTGGCCTCTTTGTTTTGGGGCAGTGTCTATGTCAGATTACTCATTGTTTCTGTTGATGGTGTATTGCAGGTTTGCCACTTTGTTAGGTTTTATGGGAGAGCTGACTTTTTTTTTTAATTAATCCTTGTTTGGAGTAAGGATGGCTGTATCTTGGATGTTATACCCTGCAAGGCAGTGGCTTGTTTGGTTTTTTTTCTTGCTGTCTGCTGTGAAAAGCACTGTATACATCCTGGTAAAAACAGAAAACTAAACCTTTACTGTAGCAAAACAAACAAAACCAAACAACCAAACATGACTCTGATGACATTGTGTGAGAATACTTTTTTTTTTTTCCTTATAGAGGTGGATCTAGATTGGATGACATAGAGTGGTTGTATCAGTGCAAGTGTGGCTTAAATCTGCCTTTAAAATCCCCTCCCTTTTGTGGGTGCTTCCACCTTTTTTCTGTTTCTGAGAGTTTACTGCCAAAATCGCGATGTAATTACTGCTGTTTAATAAAGCTAATGAGCAATACACAGTTCTGTGGATTTTTTTGTTAAGTGCTGTGAGAGATGAGCTGCATTGAAACAATATAGAAGACTGCTTAGATTTATCTTTGTGTCCTGACAGGAGGAATATGAAAGCAGATGTCTTTCGGAAGCATTATAAAATATTTTGTTATAGGACCATGTTTTCTGTATCAGTGTTATAGCATAGATTAACCTAAACTTGGCATTCCTAAACCTAAGCATCTCTCGAGAAGAATATTTGGGTATTACCTAACAGAGGAAATAGTGTCATTGGTTACACAGGAACGAAGGTACGATTTTTCAGTATGTAAAGTCCAGCCATGCCTGTTTCCCATTGTTCTAAAACAGGTGTGTTTCGCTTTCTTAATCTAAATCTGTTGCAGAATATTAAAGGATTGGGTCTGAACAATTCATTTTTCCTCTGTAAAAATAAACAGATACTTTTTGGTGAAATAAAGGAAGGTTTGAATGCATGGTAGAAGCTTTGGCACAGCAGCTTAGTCTTGTACTTAGGCATCTGTTGCTGACAAGTTGAGATGCAGAGTTTTGAGGGCTCCTTCTGCTATGGGCTGAGAGGCCCTTTAATAGGATTCCTCTGGGAAGCTGAATTTTGATATGAAGTATTTCACATTCCACAGCTACAGGTGACCTTTCAAAAACACTGCACAGGTCATAAGTTATGAAAACTATTTACTTATTCCCTAACTCCTCGTCAGCACTTTGACTGTTTATACTGAGACTTTCTATTCCTTTCCTTTGTTATTGTGAGAGATCCACGTGCATGGAAGGAAAAACAATTTTCATAAGTAGGAAAATGTGACTCTAAAACTTCTAAAACAGGCACTGGGGAATTGAAGTCATGCCTGTTAAATAATTTTTAACTCTGTGTTGAAACTTGATCAGATGACCTGTTCATTGTGATCCATCAGTACGTCTACATATTTATTGTTATTTTACAGTACTTTGGGTTTGCCAGAATGTAAGTGTGGGTTATCTTTTTGTAACTGTGCATGTTTTAGTTTACCAGGAAAATTCACCTTGGTATGAGAAACAAAGATGGATCCAGAAGAGCAGGAGTTACTTGGTGATTACAGATACAGAAATTATTCTTCAGCAATTGAGAAAGCTTTGAGAAACTTTGAGTCATCAAGTGAATGGGCGGATCTTATTTCTTCCCTTGGCAAACTCAATAAGGTATTGTGCTATATTTTTTTTTAAATATTTTTTTCCAAATATTTTTTCATTTGTTTATTATCTTTGTATTGTTATTAACTTTTCTGTAACTTACAGCATTCGACAAAATTTAAAAAAATCAGTCAAGAAAAATATTAGTTCATAAGGGAGAGGTAACAGAAGCACTTATGTCAGTACCTTATATATAAATGTGAGAAATTCTGTTAAAACCAACAGAGGTTTCCTTCAAATGGTATTTGTTTCCTTTATACAAATAAGTTAATTTCAGTTTTACATTGAAAAAACCCTCAGGATGCTGGTTATTCACTCCAGAGCAGCTAAAAAGTCTGTATATAGAACAGGAGGTCATAAATTTTAGTATATATCCTGAGTCAAAATTTATATTCAGAGATCAAGTTTACTTGACCATGCTCTTCCCTTGTATTTGGGGAAATAATTGATTTACTGCTGCTGGTGTCTTTTGTACGACCATGGAAATTCTGGCTGAGTACAGTATGAAAGAAAAGGACTTTTACAGAGAAACACCTAGGAAATGTGTCCTTTCCTCCTGCCCAAGAAACAAGGTGTACATTGTTTGCATCCCACTTGGTCTCTTTTTTAACATAAAGCTCTTCCTGAGTGTGCGTGAGGCAAGAGTAGTTACAGTCATTAAGGAAACAGGAGTGGGAGGAGGGAACTCCTGCAGAATTCATAAGGAAACATCTGTTGTTACCCGATAGGTTCCTCACATGCCGTCACTGTTGTTGATAAGCCTTAATTCTACAGAGTTTTCGAAGGGGAGGAGAATCCATAGAATCATAGAGTATCTCAAGTTGGAAGGGACCCGTACTGATTATGAAGTCCAACTGCCTGCTCCTCACAGGACTACCTAAAACTGAACCATATGACCCTGAGTGTTATGCAGACGCTCCCTGAACTCTGACAGAGGAGCTGTGACCACTTCCCTGGGGAGCCTGTTGCTGTGACCTGCCACGCTCTCAGTGAAGAACCTTTTCCTAATGTCCAATCTAAACATCCCCTGATGCAGCTTCATTCCATTTCCTCATGTCCCATCACTGATCACCAGAGAGAGATCAGCACCTTCTCCTCCACTACCCAACTTGAGGAAGTTGTAGACTGCAGTGAGGCCCCCCTTAGCCTTCTCTTCTCCAAGCTGAACAAGCCAAGTGACCTCAGTCTCCTTGTAAGTCTTGTCCTTGAGACCTTTCAGCATCTTGATTTCCCCGCTCTGGTCAGGTTCTAATAGTTTTTGTCCTTCGTACATGGAGGTGCCCAAAACTGCATACAGCGCTTGAGCTGGGGCTGCACTGGTGTGGTGTGGAGTGCGACAGTCACTTCCCTTGACTGGCTAGCTGTGCTGTGCTTGCTGAATCCCAGGACGTGGTTGGCCCTTTTGGCTACCAGGGCAACTTGCCATCAACCCAGACCCCTAGATCTCTTTCTGTGGGACTGCTCTCCAGCCTCTCGCCCTGCAGTTTGTATGTAATAACCAGCATTATCCTGTCCTAGGGGGGGAATCCAGCACTTGCTCTTGTTAAGTTTCATATGGCTGGCAATTGTCCAGCCCTCTAGTCTATCCAGATCTTTCTGCCCTTGAGGGAGTCACGGAATGACAGACTCACTTAGGTTGGAAAAGACCTTCAAGATTATTGAGTCCAACTGCTAACCCTACTCTACCAAGTCCAGCACCAAGCCACATTCCCAAGCACCACATCTAGATGACTTTTAAACACATCCAGGGATGGCTGCTCAACCAGCTCCCTGGTCATCTGGTTCCAATGTCTGACAACCCTTTCAGTGAAAAAGTTCTTCCTAATGTCTAGTCTAAACCTCCCCTGGTGCAGCTTGAGGCCATTTCCTCTTGTTCTATCACCAGTTACTTGAGAGACCAGCACCTACCTCTTTACAGTGTCCTTTCAGGTAGTTGTAGAGGGCCATGAGGTGTCCCCTCAGCCTCCTTATCTTCAGACTAAGCAGCCCCAGTTCCCTCAGCAGCTCCTCATAAGTCTTGTTCTCAAGGCCCTTCACCAGCTTCGTTACCCTTCTCTGCACCCGCTCCAGCACCTCAATATCTTTCTTGTATTGAGGTGCCCGAAACTGGACGCAGTATTTGAGGAATGCTGAGTACAGAGGGACAATCATCTCCCTGGTCCTGCTTTCCACACTATTCCTGATACAAGCCAGGATGCCATTGGCTTTCTCGGCCACCTGGGCACACTGCTGGCTCATATTCAGACGTTTATCCATCAGAACCCCCATGTCCCTTTCTGCCAGGCAGCTTTCCAGCCACTCTTCCCCAAGCCTGTATCATTTCATGGGGTTGTTGTGGCCCAAGTGCAGGACCTGGCACTTGGCCTTGTTCAACTTCATACAATTGACCTCGGCCCATTGATCTAGTCTGTCCAAGTCTCTCTGCAGAGCCTCCCTGCCCTCAAACAGGTCAACATTTCCACCCAGCTTTGTGTCATCTGCAAATTTACTGGGGGTGCATTCTGTCTCCTCATCAAGATGGTTGATAAATACATTAAAAAGAAGTGGTCCCAAAACTGAGCCCTGAGGAACTCCACTTGCGACTGGCCACCAGAGCTGGATTTAAACCAGCTGTCCAACCAGTGTTTTACCCAGCAGAGAGCACACCCATCCAAGCCATGAGCAGCCAGTGTTTTTCATCAGAATGCTGTGGAAAACAGTGTCAAAGGCCTTACGGAAGTCCAGGTAGACAACATCCACAGCCTTTCCCTCGTCAACCAGGCAGGTCATCTTGTCATAGAAAGAGATCAGGTTCATCAAGCAGGACCTTGCTTTCATAAACCCGTGCTGACTGGGCCTAATCACCTGGTTGTTCTCTATGTGGTGCATAGTGACACAGTGTGTCCACAGCTCCTCCTGGTTTAGTATTGTCAGCAAACTTAAATATACATTCAATTCTTCCTTCCAGGAAATTTATAGAAACACTAAAGAATACTGGCCCTAAAATTGAGCCCTGAGGAACCCCACTGGTGCCTGGCTGCCAGCCTGATTTAACCACATTTACTATAACCTTTTGAGCCTGACCCATCAGCCACTTGCTCACTTACCATATTATGGACTTGTCTGCCTGTGCGCTGGATGGTTTATCCATAACAATACCATGAGAGACAGTAACAAAAGCTTTGCAAAAGTCAAAAAACCCAAGGTCTACTGGCTTCCCATAGCCAACGAGATGGGTGACCTTGTTATAAAAGGAAATTAAGTTGGTTACCCCAGACTTTCCCCTCATTAACTTCTGCTGGTTGTGACCTATAACTGCATTGTCTCAAGTGTTTTTCAGTAACTCCTAGAATAACCTTCTCCATAATTTTTACCAGGTGCTGAAATGAAACCGACAGGCCTGTAATTAGGAAGGGTCTTCTTTCTTTGCATTCTTGAAAATTGGGATAGGATTTGCCAAATGAAGGTTTTTTTAAGGGCAGCCGTGTTCTTCCCTCTTCTGAGCAGAGAAGCCAGATGTTGCTCTGGCAATCAGTTACGCATTTTGGCCTTCACTGTTCCTTTCATCCTGATTACTGTGAGTCAATAATGAAAGTTAGAGGCCATTAGAATGTTCCTCTCAAAAGGGAAAACAAGAAATGATTAGGGTAAGAAATTTCTTCCCTGTGACAAGAGGTAGGCTTTGATCTTTTACCTTGACCTAGATAGACACTGTGAACTCATTGACACCTATCTGAAGCTCTTGTTCAGGTACAGAATTGCCCAAATATGTAGCAGCATCGTAGAAACCAAGCAAAAAAAGCTTTTAGCTGTTACATCAGCCCATCTGCTGTGGTATTTTATGAACTTAATCGTTTTAGGAGCTTAGGAATTGGTAGAGCAAATCATCCTCACTGTTCATCTGCCTCTGTTTGATGAAAATAAGGATGATATGTCAGGGGAATGTTTTACCGAAAGGAAGACTGTGAAATAAAATGTCAGTAGCTATTGTCTTAACTCCTATGATTACCTGGTCTCTTACATCCTAAATCATAAATATCATTGTTGAGTTCTGTTAGTGTTTTGGGGAGAGGAGGTGTTTCTAGTGTAAGAGTCTAATTTCTTCTACAGTCAGTTCTCAAGGAGAATGAATGAGCAGGGAGAGAATAGTTAGGAGGGAGAAGATCAACAGTATCTTGGTGATGAGAATGGTATATTCAGGAACCTGGATGCCAATAACTTGTGTGCAGTGATGCCTGTTATTAAGCAAAAACACCAAGAAAAGAGACAAAAGATGAGTGGGTCAGGGAGTTTTGGAAGTACTTTTCATACTTCTAGAGCAGCATACATGTCTCTGAAACATATGTTTCTTAAGGATCTTTATATTGTTGACTTGAATTGTGAGTATACTTGCTTATGTAGATGTAATATTTTCTGAGGGTTTTTATTCCATGGGCAGGCTTCAACAATACTTTGCACTATTGATTCTCACAAGTTAACACACACACACAAACTCTTATTTCTGTAGAAACTCAGTGGCATCACCCTTTCAGTACAAGGTCTGGAGGAAGCAGCACAGACTCTTACTACTTAAATATGAGGGGAAAAGAATGGAGGAAGCTGATCCTGATCGCTTTGGCCACGACTGAAACCAGTGATCTTGAAGCTCTTGCTGCTGTTACTCCTGGTGAAGAGACAGCTCTGCTACTTTTTTCTATTACTGCTTAGCTTCTAAGACTAAACTGCAGGTTGTTTTTCACAGTTTCTCTGTTGCTTCTATGGTTCTATGGTTTGATGTTTCCCAGTGACTTCTAGAATCAGGGAAGCAACAGAGAAATTGGTTGACTTCAGTCTGAATGGTCAGCCAAACTAGTCAGTTTGTAGATCTAGACAGGCAGTTTTTTGTCACATAAGCGAGGTGAGCCATATCTAACTTCAGATGACTTCAATGTGGACAGCTTCACCTTGAATCACTTTTAGGCAGAAAAAGAAATAAGGGGGTTTATTTTTTGTTACTGTAGTTGTCGCTCATCTCTTGTTATTTAAAATAG